GCGTCGTGGCCCGCGCCTTCGCCTGGTGCTGCCGCTCCGCCGTTCCCGAGGCCGCCCGCGTCATCGACATCCGCCGTTTCACCGCCGCCCACTGCTGCCGCCGCCGCCGGACCGTCGCCGTCGCCGCCGCCTCTGGGGTCTGCGCCGCTGTCGCCGTCGCCGCCGCTCCCGGACTGGTCGTCCTCATCCATTGAGGCTGAGCAGTCCCCGCCGCAACCGCACCAAGGCCGGCGGACCACACAGTCGGCGACCGCACCGGGGTACGCACCTCTCACGCCCCATGCTTCGAGACTGCTAGACGAGGGGGGAGATCCGCGGATCCGAGGACGCACGAGAGCGGAAGCGCGCACCATCGCCCAGCAACAGCTTTCTGCCCTATCGGTGGACCGGCAGTTGCCATTACTGCAGGACGATGCCGTCACCAAGCCTCTCCCTCCGACCGAGATCACCATGGGGCTGCTGGCGCAAGCAAACGACGACGTCCTCCTCTCGATGCTGGATGCTCGGCGAGTCAAGAACGGTAAGACAATGCTCCGGCCAGGATTGGAGGGGTCGGCGAGAAGGGGGGCGGAGGCGAGCAGCTCGCGAGGAGTGAGGGGGTGGGAGAGAGCACGGGAAAGTTGCCGGAGGTGGGNCATCGCCCAGCAACAGCTTTCTGCCCTATCGGTGGACCGGCAGTTGCCATTACTGCAGGACGATGCCGTCACCAAGCCTCTCCCTCCGACCGAGATCACCATGGGGCTGCTGGCGCAAGCAAACGACGACGTCCTCCTCTCGATGCTGGATGCTCGGCGAGTCAAGAACGGTAAGACAATGCTCCGGCCAGGATTGGAGGGGTCGGCGAGAAGGGGGGCGGAGGCGAGCAGCTCGCGAGGAGTGAGGGGGTGGGAGAGAGCACGGGAAAGTTGCCGGAGGTGGGCATCGGCGAGGAGGGACGCATGGGGAATGGTTGGTCGATCGGTCCGTCTGAGCGGGGCGTTCCGCTCGGACCTGTGGCGCGTCTTGCGACGCGCGACGACCTCGACTTAGCTGGGCGCGGATTGGAGCCGCCTCTTTTGCGACCCGACATGCCGCGCTGCCACGCCAAGGACCTCTGAGTACCCCAGACTTTCAAAGAGGCAAAGCAGAGCCAGCACAGCGAGCAGTTCATGGATTCGGCCAAGCGTGAGGTGTTTGGATTGCTAGGAGCAGACGCGTTTAAGATTGTTGGACCGTAGCAGCGAATAGACAACTGCATCAAGTCGAAGTTGATTTTTACNAGCCGCCTCTTTTGCGACCCGACATGCCGCGCTGCCACGCCAAGGACCTCTGAGTACCCCAGACTTTCAAAGAGGCAAAGCAGAGCCAGCACAGCGAGCAGTTCATGGATTCGGCCAAGCGTGAGGTGTTTGGATTGCTAGGAGCAGACGCGTTTAAGATTGTTGGACCGTAGCAGCGAATAGACAACTGCATCAAGTCGAAGTTGATTTTTACTGGAAGGTAGATGCGTTCGGCTTTCCTACGAAGGCCAAGGCTAGACTTGTTGCGAGAGGAGACATGCAGAAGGAGTAATTGACTTTGGTGATTTGTATGCACCTACTGTAGCTTCATCTAGTGTTCGTATGTTGGCAGCTTTGGCGTGTGAGCTTGACTTGGAGTTGTGTCACTTCGATATCGTCCAGGCTATTGTGAGGGCCCCTCTCAAGGAAGATATTTTCATGCGACTGCCGGAGGGATGTGGTGCGTTGTCGGGGAAGATACTGCAGTTGAATAAGAGTCTTTGTGGCTTGAGGCAGGCAGCTAGAGAGTGGTACGCGTTACTGAAGAAGTGCATTTTGACTTTGGGGTTCGAGCAGTGCATGGCTGATTCGTGTGTTTTTCGTTTTGTCGAAGGGGGGGGAGTAGTGTTGCTTCTCGTAGTACACGTAGACGATATTTTTGCAGTGGGGACGAAGGAAGGGTGTCATCAATTCGGGAAGGACCTGGGAGAGTATGTGCCAGTGAAGTCTCTAGGGGAGATGAAGTGGTACTCCGGTTGCTATTACGAGAGGGACAGAGAGGCTGGCAGGCTGACGATTTCACAGCAGACATACACCGAAGAGCTGGGAGAGAGATATGGTGTCGAGTGGGGGGGGGGCATTCCTTTGCCCACCACCTGGAGACTTTGGGACTTCGACTTGGACGAGCCGAGCGTAGAGTACACTTTTCGCGCGCTGGTCGGTTCGCTGTTGTGGATTGCCTTGTTGACTAGGCCGGATATCGCGAATTCGGTGAGAGCAGTGGCGAGGTATTGTAGTGCACCGAAGTTGATCCACTGGAAGGCTGCACTTAGCATTTTAGGATATGCAGTTAGGACTGGTTCTTTGGGGATTTCTATTAAGAGGGGGACGGTTTCGGGATTTTCTTTGATTGCGTTTGTCGACGCGGATTACGCTTCACGTGCGGCAGACCGTAGGTCGGTTTCGGGAGGGGGAGTGATGTGTTCAGGAGGGGCGATTGCATGGTTCTCCAAAACTCAGAAGTGTGTGACTTTGTCTACCACGCAGGCAGAATACGTGGCGATGGCGGACATGGGGAAGGAGATTTTGTTTTTGGAGCAAGGTTGGCGTTCATGTTGCCTAAGGAGTTGCGGCCGTGCATTCCCCTGTACGAGGATAGCGAAGGGGCTATCCAGATCGCAAAACACCCGATCTCGAATTTCAACTCGAAGCACATCGACGTGCCGCATTACTTCCTCAGGCAGCTCGTAGATGAGAAGGTGGTAAAGATTATCCACGTAGCGTCGAAGTACCAGCATGACGACTTCCTCACGAAGGCGCTCCCTGAGAGAGAGTTTGTTTCCCACCGGGAGATCCTTTTTGGTTTTTGAGTCTTGTGCCTTTTGTTTATTTTTCTTTCGATTTTTGGTTTTTGTGTTGATTTGCTTGATTTTCTGAGAATTCGAGTTCAAGATTGAAAGGTGGAAATTGATGGTCGGCATGATGCAAACCGATAAGAATTCTAACGGATGTTTCTGGTTTAAGGGATTTAGTGTTGTGACAAGAATGCAGTTTGGGATGAAGGGAATGTCTTGCACTAAATTTTGTTTCGGTTAGGTATGTGGTATGTATGGGAGGATAATACGGATAGTATATTTAAGTCCGGGTGTGCTCTTGTCAATGCAGCGAATAGGGGGGGCTGTTAGACGTACTCACAGCATCGACAGATTATTGCAAGAAATTTCCGAGCAGATGGAGCGGGGAGTTTGGGGGTTCAGCAGTTGCTTTGGATTCGATTTGATGGTACCAAGTTTGCCGTATGTTACAGCATTGAGGGTGGGGGTATGTGTGTGTCTACAACGGATATGGTGATTGTGTGACGTGGCTTCTCACTTGTTTTTCTTTCCTCCATTTCCTCCATTTCCTCCTTCCTGTGTGCAATCAAGTCCTTTTCCCCCGGCTATCACGCTACCACGGCTATCACGCCACGACTTCCACGCCAATCCTGGCTGTCACGCCATCCGGCTATCACGCCTTCCGGACATCCACGTCCTTACTTATACCTTTACACCACGACTATCACGTCACCAGGCTTCCACGCCACATCCAGAGATACCATACCCGAGCTATCACGCTCCATCCCAAAGTAGAAGGCTGTCACGCCCATCATAGTTCCTAGACTGTACCGTTGGCGGCTACCGCTCCGCTTGCTCTTTTATTTCCCAACCAAGGGACCCCGCGCGCCAAGGCACCGACGCACAAAGCTACTCAACGATCTTCACGTAACTTTCTGTTGTGATGACGGAACGCCGAACAGCCGCACGACAGGGTAAGCAAGCGCCCTTCAGCAGAACATAGAAAAGGGCCATGCAAACACCCTTGGCAGTCACTTGGGCACAACGGGGCTGGAGGGGTGTACTCATAGTCGTGCATGCCGTAGTCGTTAGACCATTGACCTCGCATCGCTACAAAGCCGGGGCGGAGCACGCCGGGTTCTCACTGGACCAGGCTCTCAAATCACCAAGCGCGAAGCGCCGTGGGGTATTCGACGAGTCGCATGAAGGGTGCGCTGCATCCTGCTAAGGGTATTCGGCATCTTGTGCTTACTTCCTTGCATACGGATGACAGCTGCGTATGACATTATTTATTTTCTGGTGCTCCAATTCCCGAGACAGTTGTAAGCACTGTGTAACTGCCTCGAGGGTGCTTGACCTGGAGGGGGAGAACAATTCAAAGCGGGTGCAACACTCGTAGGAAGATTGACTTCTTCTCAAGGTAGTTCGAAGCTGAACATGGTACGCATTTGGTTGGGGATCAATCTATTTCGACGGCCAGCTCGGTGTGGGAAAATGCACGAGAAGCGATAGTGGGACAAGGAAATAATAACGATATCACCACATGACCAGGAACGAACGTACAACAAGCGTGAACGGGTAGTAACAGATACCATTGCTATTTGGCTAAACTACACGACTTGGGAATAGCCAGCGCATCGAACCTAGCGATACAGTACGATGCACCGCCGCCGCGTTGCGCCCTTTTCTCTTTAGAACAAATTTGCGAGGGCGGCTCCTTTACCGTAGCAGTGTGGTGGGCCAGCAGGAATCAGACATTTCGCGTGTATGTAAATCTGTTTGACTCCTCCCAGGACTCTTGGGAGTGAACATGAGCCGGATTGAAGTTGAAATATTCAACGAGAGAGACCACGTGATCCACGTTTCTTGAGAGTCGACGAGTTTCATACCGTGTGATGTGGAACTTGTTGGTGGCGCGGTGAGATTAGTCTTTTCGAAACTATATCATCTAGACTATCTTAGAACGTCGTCGAACACTGGACCGGGCGGGTGCTCCGCGGGAGATGGAGCACCACACAACAGTGCGTAAAACCAAATGACGCATACCTATGAACAGGAAAATGTTTTTTGCTGCGGATGTCACCCACGATCAAATTTCTAGCCCGCTTACAGCAATCGGAGCGGGCAGGCTATGCTACGTACGTGGCGATGTTGATTGACATATCTAGGTGATGGGTTCCCACGTAAAATTGACACGAAAATTTCGGACTGAGATGGATTGACACCAAAAAAAGTGACGGTTGGCAAATTGACACGAAAAAAGGTAACGGTTGGTAAATCGACATCTCGAGGTCTGACCCACCAGGGTGATATCATGATAGCACTAACTTAGCTAGTTAATTTACTTGTGCTCTTATACATATATTGACAACCTTCCTCGGTGTCCGACAAGGAATATCCTCATGTGATAAACTTACTACTATGCCCAAGATTTTATTATCGACGATACTGACACCGATGCCATGGGGAAACATCGAGGTAGAGGTAGGAAACGACCTCGACCAAATCACATATAATATGTGATTTGGTCGAGGTCGTTTTCTACCAACATATTCGCACGATTGAGAGCGAAGTATCTGATTGAGAGCGAGATCGTGCGATACGATGTAGCTTGTCTACTGCTGAGAGGTAGAGCTTGCTGTGCGGCTTGAATTGAAGGGCTTGCCCATAGCTACAAGCCGATACCCGGGTCATCCTGCGGGCGTCTCGCGTTGTGGAGCTACACCGCGGAGCAGAAGCTACGGGAGGGCCTACCGCGCCAGGCGACGGCGCCCTGAAACAGTTTCGGGCAGTAATAGCCAATCTGGGGAAATGTAGCAACGTGCGTAGCCCCTCGCTGCTGCAGCCGATCGCAGTGACACGCATATGCACGCGAAGCTGCTGA